CTTAGCCATTACTACTTGTAAATATCTTCAGTGGACATGGAGGACAATTGAACTCCGTCCTATTTATAAAAGCCCTTTACATATTTGAAGGCTATTATTAGGACCGCTTCCCTCCCTCCAGTTGTCTTTTTTTCAAGATTAAACTGCCAATTTTTTAACCTTTCCTTATAGGTCAGGTTTTCTATCAAGTGTTGTATTTACTTTGCCCAAGTAATAACTCTTTTATACAAAACTTCTGAACACAAACCTTTTAATTATCTTTTTTTCCCTAAAATACTCTTAAGGTAACACTGGCATGGTTCAGACTTCTGTATACAAATCTTCAAGCAAGCAAAGGGAGGAGAAAATCCCAATACTGCCAATTCTTGGGAATTTATCTTATGACAAATCTTGTGACATTTGGGTTTTTTAAAGCACCAGCTCCTGGAGTTGGAGTTGGGTGATTGTGTTTTTTAAATGAAAGCAGAGATTGTGTTTTTAGCCCATGTGATTTGTATTATGTGGAAGGTAATGCTGTGATGTCTGTCAGTGGGTTGGAGCATCACTAACAAGGACAGTTGTGGGGCTGGGACTGGTGGGGCTCTTTGTTTTCTGACATTGAGGTGTATTTATTCTGAAAGCGTACATGGCACTGCCAGTTAACCATTTCTGTTAAAGTTTTAGCCAGTGAATTTCCCTTATGTTTTTGAGGAAGTGGTGTTAGTGAATGGTGGGAGGGCTTTGTTGGGGTACCTGTGAGGGAGACTGGGAGACTTCCTCCAAACACTTCAGTGTTACTCCGTTACCAGCTTTGCCTTCCCCCTGACCTCTCCATGCCCACAGTAGTGCTGGAGGGGCTGGGAGGAGGATGGTAGGTGGTTACTGATGGGGTGTGAGGAGCACATCTGCTCGCTGAAGTCAGCAAGGGAAAGCCGTGGGAACCCCAGGTTCCGCACTCTACTTCAGAGGGTAATGGAGAGGGATGGGGTTTTACACAACTCTGAAGCATGGGAGGATTGCAGAGATGTGAAGTGAATTATTCATCTGGGATGAATCTGAACACCACTCTCCCTTCTCTTCCCCCCCCTCCACCTCTGCCCTTCTGATGAATCCAGTTTGATGCAGTAGCTCAGAGATGTGAATTGACCCATTTATCTTGATTGGTGTTCTTCTGATGTTCCCAAAGTCTGCCCCAACCCCTGTTTTCAACACTATCTCAACATGCACATAGACTTCAGAGCAATTTGAATATTAGATCTTTATTGGGATGCTGTAACTTTACCAAATAACCCTCAGCTTACACCAGTAACACTATTCTGGCCCAGCAGTATTATAGTGGGACATGTAACACTACCACAGGGGTCAGCAACCTTTCAGAAGTGGTGTGCTAAGTCTTCATTTATTTGTGGTAATTTAAGGTTTCGTGTGCCAGTAAAACATTTTACATTTACAGGGGCTGGCGGCTGGGATCCCGGGCCGGCAGCGGGCTGAGCAAGGCCGGCGGCTGGGACCCCGGGGCCAGCAGTGGGCTTAGCCGCTCAGCCCGCTGCCAGTTTGGGGTTCCATCCACTGGCCCCTGCCAGCCAGGCTGCTGGCGCAGGGTTCCGTCCATCCAGGCCGGCGGCAGCGTGCCACAGTAAATCAGCTCGCATGCCACCTTTGGCACGTGTGCCATAGGTTGTCGACACCTGTACTATCACAATTAAAGCTGCACCAGGATCTTCATTTTAACAAGGGTGAAAAAGTTGTATGAAAATAGTCGGGGATAGAGTATCATTTTTAAATGTTTATAATAGCTTGTTCACTGCTTGGTTTTTTCCTACATCAGTTAGTAGGGGAAGCTTACATCGACCTAACTCTGTAAGCGTCTACACTACAGTCTTCCTCTCACCAACTTAATTTGCCTGCCGTGTCGACCTAATAAATCCACGTGTGTGTGAGAGGCATAGCACTTAGTTTGATGTAGTTAGGTCAATGCAGCGTCATTGCCTGTTGCTGCCTTTGACAGCTGGAGTTCCACCACCCCAGGGCTGACAGCCTGAGCTGTCAGTGCAAGCACTCCTGGTGAGGGCGTGCACCGCTGACAGAAGGAGCATAGTGTAGAAACAAAAAGACTATTTAAATACTGCGGTGGCTGTTGTAGGTCAACCTAACTTAAGTTGACTTAATTTTGTAATGGAGATGTACGCTAAGATTATATTACCCTGCTGCTGCCTTTTACTCGAGTCTTTCATCTTTCCTCTTCAGTGCTAATTTCCTTTGTAGTACCACTAAAATAAGATCTGGAAATGTGTGCAGATTTTAGAGTACTTTGAAGTATTGGCTCTTAAACAAAAAAGTTTGCTATCAGGGCAAAATTCCAGAAGGAGCTATTGCAGAATTCAGACAGAGCAACTGAAGTGCACAGCACATTCTCAGAACGCTTGACTCAAAACTTTCATTGTATGGGTACTCTGCCATTCAGTAACCATAGTATGTCACCTGCTTATTTTGACATCAGGTTGCCTGTAAATACTCTCGCCTGCAACACAACCTTGGTCCTGCAGTATGTGCGTAAATGACTGCCATAGGCCCCATTCATTTTGCTTGAGGCACACTGTAGATCTAACTTTTTACCCTAAACAACACTTTAAATGTTGCTTCCCCAAAGAGACAATGGTGCCAGACACTAGTTGAAATTCATTCCAAGCAGATTATATCAGTTTATGGAGAATCCGTGTTTAAGGTATGTCTATACTGCTGCTGGGAGCGAGTCTCTCAGCCTGGGTAACAGACTGCTAGCTTCAGTTGAGCTAGCACACTAAAATAGCAGTGTAGACTTTGCAGCTTCAGCGGAGACTCGGACTAGCTGCCTGAGCTGCAACATTCACGCTGCTGTTTTTACTATGCTAATTCAAGCTAAAATAGCATGAATCTGTCTGCTTGGTCTGGGAGGCTTATTCCCAGCTGCAACATAGATATACCCACAGTTTGAGGCCCAGGTGGGCAAAAAAGTTGGAACTTCAAAACTTTGTTACATGATTTTTGGGAGTTGGGCAAAGGGAGAGCTTACAGTGCTACTGCTCTGTAATATAATATGCCCAGAAGAAAATGGGAGGGGGGGACCCAAACAGTGAAGAATATATTGTAGGGAACAGTTCTTTGATATCAGGAAGCAGACTAGGTAGTTTAATAGATCTTTTATATGTTTGTGTGTCTGTATTCAGATTACAATTTGTATTGATGTTTGTTAATCTCTCAATATTGATGTCTGTTGCTTTGAACCTTTCAAGTAAGGAGGTTGTTTCTGTTCATACTGGAAGTTTGATTGATATCCAATATGGTGGAATGCTGTAACTTTTTTCATTTGAAATTTGTCTCATAATGGTGTAATACACATTCTCTAAACTATCAAATAGATTGCTCATTACGTTATACCACAAGGAAACAGAAGTCCCTAGTTACAAACTTCTGCCATCACTGTGTTAATACCTAGAAATCCTGACTCTTGAGATTAAATAAAGTTAAAACAGCTGATGCCTCATCAAAGACTAGAAAATTGTATAATATATTTTTAATTTATAAGACTCTGCCCTTACTGTTTGGGATATTAACCAGGGCAGTGGATGAAGTTTCCCCTTGGGGAAGCTATCCCCCTGCCCTGCCTCTTCTGGCCAAGGCCCTGCCTCTTCCGGCCAAGGCCATGCCCCTGCTCAATGCTCCCAGCCCCCTTGTGGCCCCGGCCAGGGTGGGGGAGGCCTGAGAGCTCGACCCTTTTCCTCCCATGGCCCCACCTGGGACAAAGAGGGTCTGAGAGCTCAGTTGGTGCTATGGAGGGAGGCTGAGAGCTTGGCCCCAGGTGGAAGCAAGCTCTCATCCCTGGCCAGAACCACAGCGGAGCTCTCGGTCCTGGCCAGAGCACTGAGCCTAGAGTCCTTCCACCAGTAGCCCCGCCCATGGCCCCACCCCATTCTACCCCTGCCCCCGTGGCTCTGCCCCCGCTCTGCCTCTTTCCCTGTGGACCTATCCCCCTCTCACTCTTCTCCCTCTCACCCTCCCACCCCCGTTGTGACCCTGAGACTGCGATAGGGAGCGAGAGCTCCTCCAGACTCACAGCTGTGGCAGGGGGAGATTTTTCCAACCAATTTGGGACCCCTGGGGCACAGGCACCGTGGGGCTGTGCCGTAATCTGCCAGTGTCCTTCTCCCCCTCCAACTTCTGTAATGGCATGAGGTTTGGGGAGGCTTAGCCTCCATTATGTGCAGCCCATGGGTATTAAGCAATAAGAGGACTAAGATGCAGACTAATACTTCAAACTCTAGTTTTTCAAGAGGATCGTGGGAGAGGCAATACCACTTGAAGGTTAGAGCATGGGAATTAAGAGTGGAAACTCTTGAGTTGTCTATCAGCCACTGTTTGTTTGGGCAAATCACTTATTTGTAAAATGGGAGTAATACTTTGCTTCCTCACAAGTGTTGTAAGAATTAGTACTTGTAAAGCATTTTAAGATGTAAAGCACTATTAGATGCTTGTCGTCTCGGTGACAAAACTATTTCTACAAGAACCAATTGAAGAAGCAGATGGAGATGATTTCATGTAGGTGTCTAAAAGGCAAATAAGGAATAGTAGGGTGCAGAATAAAAGATAACTGAGGCTTTGTCTACACTAGCACTTTTGTCGGTAAAACTTTTGTCAGTCAGGAGTGTGAGGGGGAAAAAAACCCACCCCTGATCGACACAAGTTTCACCGTCAAAAGCACTGGTGTGGACAGCGCTATGTCGGTGGGAGATGCTCTCCCGCCACCATAGCTACTGTTGCTCATTGGGGATGGTTTAATTATCAGTGAGACAGCTTTATCCTGCTAACATAGAGCAGCTACACAGGAGATGTTACAGTGGCGCAGCTGCAGCGGTACAGCTGTGCTGCTGTAAGGTCAGTAGTGAAGACATAGCCTATGTTTTCCATGAGGCATCGGCAGCTTTTCAACAAATAGAGATTGATTAAATGTTTGTTTTGATTTATAGTGGTTCCTGTCATTTCAGAAGTTGGAGATCAATCTGGTGAGGTAGGTTACTCCAGCTCTCCAGCAGAAGCACCTCCAAGCAAGTCTCCATCAATGCCATCCCTAAACCAGACCTGGCCAGAACTAAATCAGAGCAGCGAGGTTAGTAAAAGCTTCGTTTTATTTAAGAAGTATTTAGTGGCCACTAACTAAACTGTGTATAGGTTCATGTTTCATTATATATAGAACGTTACAACATGAAACTGCAAGTTAAATGAGCTAAACTTTCTAGCATTTCTTATATAATCATGCAAGACTTCTAATAGGCATGTACGCTGGCTCTGAAGAATGTCTTCAACAGAGCAGTTAATCTTTTACTAAAACATAGGAAAATCATAAGCGTTTAAAATATCATATTGAAGGTAATATTTCCTTTCTCCCAAATCAGTAGGGAGCACAGTGATGTATAAAATATCATTAATTAAATTCTGCTTGACCTTAATACAGTTTTCTTGTAGCGTGTTTGCTGAATAATAAATGGTTAGTATATAACTGACTCCTCCACATCTAGTACTCTGAAGGCTTTTGAGGCCAATGCTAAGTTACACAATAGTCCTGCTGGCAGTACAGTTATCTCCAGGGGGATTTCCAAGTCTCATTAATGATGGAGTTAAATGAAAGCTTAAACCTAAAACACTATCAGCAGAATAAAGAATCCATTTTATTTATTTATTTTATTTGATGATTCAGGGTCACAAATTACTTTGAAATCAAAGCTACTGTTGCTAACATTTTAACTTTTTACTAACTGTCATTTTTATATTATGTATCCTTGGTACTTAACAAAGCAGTATCTAAAGAACTTCTGATTAAGCAATGTCAAACAAGTCGTATTTAGATTTCAGTTTTTGATACATCACCAAAGGTAGCAACTTATTCCACGACTGTGTGCTTCAGTATCCTTGTCTCCATTATCTTTTTTACCAAGATTGACTTGAAGAGTCAGCCTGCTTCTGAAATATGACCTAAGACTCAGGATATAAACCAGCTAATTCTTAGAGCTATTTTATTATATGGAGATATACCTGTCTCATAGAACTGGAAGGGACCTTGAAAGGTCATAGTCCAGTCCCTTGCCTTCACAGCAAGACCAAGTACAGTCACTGACAGATTTTTGCCCCAGATCACTAAATGGCCCCCTCAAGGATTGAACTCACAATCCTGGGTTTAGCAGGCCAATGCTCAGACCACTGAGCTAGCCCTCCCCCTGTTGGTGTTACATTGTAAACTCTTTGGGGCAAGGAAAGACATTTTGTTTGTACAGTGCCTAACAAAATGGGGTCCGTATGTTCCAAGACTGGTGTTCCTAGGTGCTACCACAATATAAATAAGATGATGTAGGGTTTAATCTATATTCCTTTAGTGCAGAAAAACTAGAAAATTATTGGAAATACTGGTTATTACAGTGAGGTACAAAAATAATGGGAGCTATAGTCTAGCATGTAAAGCGATATTGCCCTAGAAGAATATTTCACTTGCAGTAGAGCCACAAAGCACTGTATACGTTTCATTGAGTGTAGGCTGTTTGCAATGAAACAATCATGGAGTTCTCCAGGATTCCTTCTGCATATGTCCAAGGCTGTGGGTGTTTAGGCTCTGGGGCGCTTAATTACCTGATCCTCTCGAACTGTTTGCCCCAGATATCTCACTTCAGTGTCCATGAGCTGCCAACCCCAGGAAATCTTTCATTTCAGTAGGGAATAGTTTTTACAAACTGAATAGGAAGAAGAGTGGGAGAGCTCAATTTGAGCAAGTAGTCAGTTTTCAGACCAGAATTTGTTGTTCACTTATTACCTTTGCTTTCAAAATATGAAGTGAGGGACTACAGCATCACAAAGTTTGAGACAGATTCCTTTAGTAAATTGTATAATGAACTGCAATGTATCATCTAATAGAATTGTTGCATCTGACACATGAGAAATATTAATTGGAGAGCCATTTTTAGTGCAGATGCTTTATAATCCTGAAATATGTAACTCACCAGCAAGATAGCCTCAATCCCACAAAAAAGTATGGTGGCACTAGTGGAAGGCATTGCCTGAAAAACTTAGCAAGACAATTCAAAGCTGTAATAAATTAGTGAGCTGATTTCAGTCAAGTAAACTAATGATACCTTTGTGAAATATTAACATGCATCAGGCTTAACAGGACATCTGTTCTAAATAAACCCAAGTTATCTTTAAAGGTAGCTTTCTGTGTGAACATTCTGTCAGCTAGAAGAGTAGAACTACTAATTCTTTTTCTATACTCTGATGACACTGACTTTACATACTTGACTAAAATGATACAAGCCAAGATTTTTTTTAAATAAGTTGCTCCAAAAGTTATTTTCCATATCCAGATTTAGGCACCTAATAAGTGGCTTAAATTTGCAAGTGCTCATCATCCAGCAGCTCCCATTTCTCCCCAAGTGACTTCAGTGATGTTTAACTTCCCTGTAGTATTTCAGATATATCCACAATAGATGCTCAGCACTCTTGAAAATGTATGATTTAGGTGTCTAAAAATGGACTTATGAGCCTAAATTTAGGCTCTAATTTCTTGCTCATAAGAATATTGTAGTTCCATATTGTGCCCACAGTGGAAACGCGCTAAAAGAAAAACTGCAAGAACATCACTCTCTCCCTTAAACAAGAAAACCTTAATTTAAATATAACCTGTTCCTATTTCAGGCCAAGTAATGTCTGAACTCAGTTTTCACCATATGTGAAATTTTGGCTGAAGAAAACGAGTAAAAACGTTTGTATTCTCCTGAAATGTCACCTGCTGGGACCCAGCGAATCGTTACTTTCAGCTGAAAAAAGGAAATATTGTTCCTACTTTGTAAACATATTACCTTGAGCAATTTTCATAAATAACATTTCACTGTAAGGTGAATGTACCTGCATATACGTACAGTGCATCTAGAAGAAAGAATTTGTACTTAAATGATCTCTGGATTTCCTACCCTGTGTCCAGCCAATGCTAAATTATATCTACATTGTGTAAACTGGATTTTTGCAGGTATAAAGAGTCATAGGTAAATTCTTTTGTCAGGAATTAGAAGGTCATAAGGTCATACCATTATGTGTTGAAAAGATGTATTCCCAACATATAGTACCTATAGTTACAATAAAGATTTGATTGTAATAGATGTCACAGTAATTTGGCAATCCATAACATACCTATTTCTTGAACTAGACACTGGTGTGGAGAACAAGTAAGAAGAAATAACCTGTAATGGTTTCTGGTAGACAACCTCACTACTCTAGTACAGTTGCTTCACAATCCGAAATCACTTCTGTCTTAGATAATTTTGTTCACCTGAAGTGGCCTGTGGACTCTTTTCTACTGCTGTGGGAGTCTGAGATTTTGTTGTGCCAATTTACCACCCTACAGGGATTTGGGAAAATACTTAGGTTAAGGAATACTAGCAAAGACTAATTGTACTAACATTGCAGTTAGTTATTTCATAAGCTGCATAGTTAAAATAAATGATAGTATGATGAACTTTATTTTTTAACATCAAGATTATACTTCTTGAAAGATACTATCTCTAAGGGTTTTCACTCAATTTTTCTTCCCTAGGAATTTGTGCTGAACTCCAAGGTTTTTTTTTTTTTTTAAGTGTTTAGGTATTGTGAGGACTTCCCTGG